ATGTATGGATCACTTGGGTTGTTACCGACATCTGGTGAAAATTTCATGTCATTAGCACCTCTAGTAATATATTTACTGAGAAAAATGGTGACGTGTTCAACACTTATTTTACCCACTGTATGTATGTTTAAGTGTAATTTCTGAAGATGACATGCAGGGTTTTTGAGCATAACCCTAAAGTTACACCCATGATATGATATGATATGATATGATATGATATGATATGATATGATATGATATGATATGATATGATATGATGATCAGAGAGCTGCAAACTCAATTGTTCTTTTGGGATAAATAGTTATTTGAAGTTGAAGTTGAACTAAACACAGAAAAAGTATAAATAAAGTCAGTTCTCTCTTTTTTATTGCACACCAAAATCAAAGATTACTGAAAAATTCAAACTTCATTTTCTAATCTTGAAATTTGACCAGCTGTCATGAGAAGAATGCATCAAGGGAAACTATAAAACTATTTTAAAGCATTGAAAATATTACCTCTGGGACCAGATAAAATATTAAATAGGGGCATATTTGGCCCGGGAGCCTTGTGTTCGACACAAGAGGTCTGGAGCCATTTTTGGTTGTTAAAGAAAGAAGCAAACAGCCTCTGTGGGAAACAGCAGCTCTTATCACTCATCAACACTCAGAGATGAGCTGCGATCAAACCAGCTTTTTTCCACAGAAACCATTAAAACCTGCAGCAGTTGGAGGGTTTTCTTTCTGCTCTCTGATATCTGTCTGGTTGTCATGTGTCTGTGTGGTCTGTCAGCGTGAATGTTTAGAAGAAGGCCCCTTCTCACTCAGCAGGGCTCAGTCACACTTCAGGTGGTTAAATGAGTCATTTGTGTTTCCCTGCAGAGTTTCCTGGTGCTGCGGGATTCTGTGACGTCTGAGCCCAGCCTGCTGTGTGTGTCTGCAGGGAAGACCAGTAAAGACGTTCTTCATCATAAAGTCCAACACACGGGCTCAGGTACGCAAACATGGACCTGTGCCTGGCTCTGGTCCAGATCGGGGATAAAATACCCAAATCAGTGACAGGAACCTATGAAGCCCCCGTTTGAACTTCCTAGTTAAAGCTTTGTTTTCTGTGATGTTTTTACTTAAAGAAATAGTCTGATAAGTCTGTTGTGCCCTCTCTGTTTCAGTCTTCCAGCTGTCCGAGTCTCGTCTGTCTTTTTCTGATTTGCCTCAGCTGGTGCTTTTCTACTCCCTGAGCAGGTAAAAACCTTGAACAGGGGAACTTCCTGTCTAACACTTTATCATCAGATGCACTTGTTGTGATGTGTGCAAACATCAGTCTGTTTGGTTTGGGTTTATTAACATCTATCATCTCTTCCTCTGTATTAGGGATGTGTTGTCTGTCTGTCTGACTGTTCCTCGTTGGATCTACAGTTTAACTGAGATGAACAAAGACCATCTCTCTCAGCTTGAACCCGGTCAGTCCTCAGATCATTTTTCTTCATCAGAAATACATGATTAGGGACTTTTCTCTGACTTGTTTTGTATCTTTTACTCTTCTTCTACAGAAACATGGCTTTCCACACCACCTGAGATACAGACTGAAGAGACGACCAACATGGAACTGAGTAATGTGATGTGTTCCATACAGGTGTGTTGCTTTGAGCGTGTGTAAATGTGAAAGGGGTATTGTCCTCAACAGGGTACAACTTCGTTAATTTGGTCACAGAAGAAGTTTAAAGTCAGTGTCCTTTAAAAACTTGAAATGCACAAAACAACAACATTAATCAGGTGGCATGAAGCAGAATTTCATACTGTATAGTTTTCATATTGGAATCAATTTTTTTTGTCTAACTCTTCTTTATCTTAGTATAGTAGTAAAATATCAAAGTTCTTTTGTTGGTAAGCCTTTTAGTTTTTCAGTCATTTAACTCTACTACTTCTACGACCTGCGTATATAACCAATTAAAACAGGGCTGGATGTCTGCAAAGTGCAAAAATGTCCTTCAGTGTGAAGGCAATTATGATCTGTAATTTCACTGTGCTCTGTATGATGACAATAAAGGTCTCTCCAAACATATGGACCAGTTGGCAACTTCAGCAAATCATGTGACCCATTTATATGAGAGCTTTCATGGAAAAACCGTCTTTGTTGTTAGTTTATTGTCCTCAGCATTTGCTGTTGAGAGCAGTAGTTTATCACTGATAGTTGTCTCATGCTCAACAATGGCCTCTACGTACTTTTTCAAACAAAGGGGCCTCATGCATTAAGGATTGCGCAGCTTTCACACTAAAAGTTGACGTACGGACAATTTTAGAAAAGTGCGTCGCACCAAAAAATTCAGATGCATAAAAATGTGCGCACGCAGGTTCCTGCGCTCCTTTCCTTTAAACATCCCAATGAATGTGGAACTTAGCGCACGTGAGACACCTCCCCTGACACGCCGGCATTGTGCAGCGTTTTCTGCCACACTTTTTCCTTCCCACAGTCTTCCCACTGAGGTGCCATGATACAGCACTCTGGGAACAGCCTATTGGTTCAGAAATGTCTTTCTGTGTCTYACCCTCTTGCTTGAGGGTGTCAATGATGACCTTCTGGACAGCAGTCAGGTCAGCAGTCTTATCCATGATTGTGGTTTTGAGTAATGAACCAGAATGGGAGTTTTTAAAAGCCTCGGGCATCTTTTGCAGGTGTTTAGAGTTAATTCAGTGATTCAGATGATTAGGTTAATAAGTCGTTTTGAGAACCTTTTCATGATGTGCTAATTTTTTGAGATAGGGATTTTTGGTTTTTCTTTACTTTTTTGCCAAAATCATCAATATTAAAACAATACAAGGTTTGAACTACTTCAGTTAGTGTACAATGAATCTAAAATATATGAAAGTTTAATGTTTATCATTACATTACAGAAAATAATGAACTTCATCACAAAATGCTAATTTTTTGAGAAGGACCTGTACAGTCTGTGGTTAAAAGTTCAAAAAGTGGGCTCACATGTGGACAATAGCCAACATGTGCCACAGCCTTTGGTATGCCTCTCTTGACTCATCAGCACTCTGCCAGGTTTCTTTCACCGACACACAAGCCAAAGCAGGGTTAAAGAAGTCATTTAAAACCAAAGGTTGTTTTTGTTAGCAGTCTAGCATTAACAAAACCCATCCTGTATGAGGTCAGGTCTCTCACCCACAACAGCGCCCGACTCAGCGGCAAAAGTTCTGGGAGGTTTATTCAGCTTGAACAAAGACATGGTGAAGTTTGGTGAAAGAGGACAGTCTAAGTGCTAACACGTACCAGCTAGGTGTAGACAGGATACTAAAAACATCAGTGAACAAAGTGACAAGTATGTTCACCCAGAATGAAGAGAGTTTAAGGGACCCACAATTCTCAGGTCTGTTGTGGTCCTTGGAGCTCACATGTGGGCCATAGTCTTTGTTTATCTGAGTAACATGCCTCTCTGATCATCTGTCCATCAATGGATTGTCTATTTTATGTTGTTTGCCAAGGTGCAAACCACAAACTCTAGTCTGGGCTCAGCTACCTATTGAATGCACCTCCATGTCCCTGACTGCCTCCATTCTAAAGCATTAGGTCCCAGTGTCCTGGTCTGAAGACTATACAGGGTTTTTAACAATGAGCACACTCACTTTTGGTTTAAGGCAGGGGTGTCAAACTCTTTTTCACCGAGGGCCACCTTAGTGTTATGGTAACTCTGATGTTTCATGTTTAACTTTGACTAAACAGTGTTCTAACATGCAAGGGTGTAACTTTGTGTTGAAAGTTGGTGGGGACGCACCGTGGGGGACGGGGTCTGACGCACCCACAGTTGTGCGACCAGGTTTTTCTGTTGTTCATGTCTTCAGTGTGTGTTCAGTTTGTCTGCACTTGTCAATAACTGAACACCAAATGTTTCTGTTGTGATGCAGTAATACTCAAACCATATTGACTGAGATTATGTTCACCTTCATTCAACCATGTAGTGTACCAGCCCCTTAAACTTACTAACAATACAGTTTGATTATCGACCAGTTTCATACAGAGACACACAGGTGGAGCACAGGTGTGTTGGTTTATCCTCTCACATAAGTCTTATAATGTGTGTAAAGGACACTGGAAGGGGGTCTGGGGGTCCTCCCCCAGAAAATTTTAAATAAATTAGAAGCTATCTCCTGATTTCTAATGTATTTTAACAGGTTGTTAAAGATACTTTTACCTACATCAATAAATACCTGATTTAATGACTGGAGACAGATTCTTCATTAAACTAGTTGCATCGTCCTGTTTTTAAATTCAGTTATAACTCAGATAATTAAATTAATGTGACAAATTATCCCAAACAAGCTTAGAGGAGGTTTTTACATTTATTTATAAGATCAATATGTGGATGTTTGGAACTGATTAGAAAGCTAATGATTGATGGATTGACAGATTTATTTACTGACCTTTATTTAACCAGGAAAATCCCAATTATGAAAACGAATTTCTACCACTTCCTACAAATAAAAGTTAAATAAGCCTATCACTTTTATACTGGTCAAAATAAATTGTTAAGCATGCTATAGATTATGTCTTTAGATCCATAATTTATTTCATTAAGGTCACACAGCTGACTAGAATGTACTCAAAATAATATTTTAAATTTCCTTCACACCTGCCCATCACCTTCGTCTCTTACCTGAAACACTCTGAATCCTGAGTCCTACCTGAGACACCCTGTCCTACCTGAGACACTCTGTTCTACCTGAGACACCCTGTCCTACCTGAGACA